TGGTACGATGTATTTTAGTGAAACTCGCTGTGAATTTGTTCTTATGTAAGACTCATATTTTGATGAAACAATCGAGTTCAGCCGTTTTGGACAAGAGGTGAATTCTTGAGTGTCGTGATACAAAAACTACCAGAACTTTTTAGTTGGAGGATGAAATCAAGTCATTTTTTTTAGATTGATGCACTATTCATTTGTTCACAATTTTGTGCTCTTTGTAAAATCTTGTAGCATTCATAGTTTTTGCGTAAAAAAAATATGTCTGTTTTCTAGTCACAAAGGACGTTTGATAGGAATTCGCTCTTGTACTTAAGAATTACAGCCTTGTATAATAGTGAAAGGAATATTGTTAAGAAGAAGAAAAAAATGTTATAATAACTGTATTGTACAAATTTACTGTAGCTATTTTGAACATTATTCAATTTTTTATTTCAATTTGACACAGGAAAATATAAAGTAACAAAAAATAAAATCTTAATTGCAATAGGAACACACCGATGCAATGCAACTGAGATAAATGTGTTTAATGAATAAATTAAGTGAATAATTTAAATATAAAAAAATATTTTTTGAAAAGCAAATCCAATACTTATTTTTAACTAACAATCGGAGCTTTGTGTGAAGAATTGATTTCTATAATCATGCTACGAGAAACATTGGAAAGTTTCATTTGCAAGTTGCAAATATTTGCTCGCAATTTTATGTAGGTGGAATAGCAATTTCACCATTTGGCTGCAATGTTGCTTTAACTTTAAAAGCAGGTTTATCTTAAAAATGGTTGATTGTTCTAAGTGCAAATGAGGTAAGAGTTAAATGAGATATGGGAATGTTGCCTTAATCTTTCACGATTATAAATATTTAGTTATCAGGCATTGTAGAATCATATAACTAGTCAACTGTCTACTTACGTGGAACTCATTTTTACAGCACCTTAATATCACTGAGTAATTAGTAAATTTAAATATTTATTTTACCGAGGTTTACATCATTTGTACTAAAAAATTTCAAAATTTTAACAAAATATTTTAATATAATTGCCACAATAATTATGCCGATAATTGTTGAACGGTAAAATTGTCGAGCTTAACCATTAGAACCAGATATGGGTCAAAGGCAACTGTCAAGGTAACTTAGATTAAATTTGCAGTATGAAACGGATTTTAAATACTACAACTATTGTGGCGCTTCTGACAATGCAATAAAGTACCCACTTAAAGGTCGCACTAGTAATTTTAATTCACGTGTGTTTTGAATTTAAATTTTTCAATGAAAGGTTCCGAAATCGTACCGCCGAGTCGAATCTGGTACCCAACATTCGGTGCGGTGGGTATCAAAGGACTGACAGTGAAAAGAGAGATACATTACTGAGATTAATTATAATTCATGATTCGATACTAATTATATTACGTTTGTTCAGATTTGCTGATAATTAAAAAAATATATTATTTATCACACGCTAGATGAGTGGAAACTGTGACGTTCTAAATGATAGTTAACTACTTTTGCAGTGTTTGAACGTTCTAGTAATTCTAATAAGCATGAACGATTTCGACCAATTTCACGTTACCCTTAAGTAAATTGAACATTTGAAAAAATGTTAAGTAATCAAAATTAAATGCAATTTGCTTATTATTAGTACTGTTCTGTATCTGTTTGTGTTTGTGGAAAAGTATACCTAATTAACGCAAAAACAACAAAAAAGATGGGATGGAATGAGGAATTTTGAGAATTTTCTGGAAAGTTTCAGACTTGCAATTTTAAATGCTAGTCCTACTTTAAGTATTATGTTGGCATTGATTATTTTCTTCAATGTCGAATACTGCGAATATATGTATAAGTACAAAAGCGGATCTTTCAATAGCAGTCGTTCCTATATTGCAGAAAGGCATATTTTAAGAGAACAGCTTTTATAGGCAGTTCAAATATTTTTAAATGAAACACTATTTTTTACATATTTTCCAAATTCGATATTCCTGACAATACTATTTTTCTTTAGCGATTTAAGACAAAGAAACGAAAAAGTAATAAATTGTATTTTTTAATCAATTAGATGAAATAATTACGGAATCTCTATGAAAAGCTTGAACGACGAGCCACAGAATTGATTACCACAAGAGAAAAAAAAACAAGATAAACGGTTCTATTTTATTAAAAAAGTCCATGTTTATCTTGAAAATGACGACATTCAAACATCATTTAATTAAATGTTGAAAAATACATTTCAAATAGAAAAAGAACGTCGCAAGTAGTATCTTAGGTACTTAGGAATTAATAAAAAACTCCTCTAAAAAAAGAGCGCAAATCAGTCTTGAAATATTTAATTAAAAGTTAAGTTATAAAATCATATCCTGCATTCAATTGATTATTTTTTTACTTAGAACGTTTGTTAAAGTAATTATCATCTGTTTGATTGAATGTTTTGGTTACCAATTATTGTTTAGGGATTTTTTCCATTTCGTTAAAAACAAAAATGCGATACTTTTTAATTTAAGTTTTTATATTTTACATATTAAGACGTCTTGCTATCCCTGAAATTGTTATTAATATTTTCTCCTTGATTTAAGAGAAATCTATTAAAATTTTAGAAACGGTATTATTCAATCGACGGAAAAAATCCAGATTATCTCAGAAATTCTGGGTAGAAACGACAAGGCGATCTATAGAATTAATTACCAGAAGTACAGATATACTACATACAGAAGATAAGCTATTCTATTATATAAAATGTCCAAATTCTACTTGAAAAAGACGAAATTCTAAAGCTTTGTTATTAAATGTTCACAAATAATAGGAATAGGAGAGGGAGCGACATACCTAATAACAATTCTAGGGGGGTGAGAAAATGATCTAAAGATTACCTTTTGAAAATGTTAATAGATATCACGAGCGTTTCTGATATCAAGCAGGGAATTTCTTAAAAAAGAACAGTCTTGAAGTGTAGAATTTTTAATAAAAGTCTTTCTTGCATTTTTGTACCTTTGTAACATGGTTATCAAGAATGATGTTTATCATGAAAAACGAAAATGTTTAATTTTTTAGTTTAGTTCTATTAGATTACTGAATCATATTAAATTATATTCTTATCTTTCCTGGGCCTCAGTCAAAGTGTGAAGTAAAAATTGTTTGAATATCGTTTATTTCAATACGGTTTGGCGAGACAACAGCGCCATCATCTGCAGATGATAAAGAAAAGGAAAGATAAGAATATAATAACAATTACTAGCAGTCAAGAAAAAGAATTTAAAAAAAAATTCCAAAATCCAAAATGCTGCATGTAAGAATACATCCCTTCCCTTCTGCTGATTCTACGGAATCATTGTAGCGTAATACCGCATTTTTTGTGTAAAACAAAAACATACCACACTTGTGTTCAGTGCAACCATACAAAAAATGCAAAAAAATCAAAATGTGTAGGAAAATTTGACATTTTACTTAATTTCGCTTTCATAAACCACCATAAAATCTACATTCTAAAGAGCTATCAATTGGGTTTCTTCTCTTTGTAATGATATTTTTACAAATTTAAATAAGTTCAAGTTTTTGTAGAAATTGCTTTGGCGGTTACAGTGCGCTACATGATTTAGTTCTCACGGCGCCGATTTCTAATCATTGTACGAAATATTAATGGATTTATTAGTTATTATTATTTGACAGATACAAAGATATTCAACAAAAATTTTATTTTTTTAAACAAATTAAATTGCTTAAAAAAATTGTAGCAAAAAAAATGACCCAGGTAGCAGACCAGTAGTCATCATTTTGACGTAAATTTTTGGGCGGCAAATGCCCGACTGACGTCAGTTATGTCACAACGCCACAGTGTCACAGGTTAAATGACGTTAATTGCTGACGTCTTAATGACGCCAATTTGCTGACGTCTTAATGACGCCAATGTGCTAACATCTTAATGACGTCAATTGCTGACGACATTATCGCGTCAATTGCTGACGTAATTAATACGGCTTTTGGTTTTTTAAATTCGATAGTTGCCGTTAGACAATTTTTTGGATTATGACCAAACAAAACGACCTAAATTGGATCTTTATTTAATTGCACAAACTTGTTATAAATAACACAAATGAGCCCTTGAAACTCAGCCCAAAAGCTGTCAGTTATTTCGTCACTTTGACCGCACACGAATCCCGATCCCACTCAGTTTCTGTGCTTTGCCCTCTTATTACTCTTATCACTAAAAGGCTCATAAATAATATTTCCTAAAAATTGTTGATTTATTAAATAATCCATGACGACAAAAAGACATCAAAAATGCGGTCACATTGACGTCAGAAAATGACGACACATTGGCGTCGGAAAATGACGTTACATGTAAGTGATTTCTTGATCAAAATTGTAAGATGACTTAAAAGGTCGATTATGACCAAAAGATGACGTCATATTGACGTCAGTGAACGTCAGCTTGCTACATAAGACAGCAAAGTACCTGGGAAAGACCCAAAAATTACACAGTTTATTACAAAAAAGAAAACGATTCATTTATTTCATCTAGTGAGTTCCCATCAATTCCTATTATTATTCGTCGATTGCTTTATCAGATTTTAACGAATATTCGTAGCTTTTTTAATAAAACTAATATGAATTTCTCAAGTACGTCTTAACCGTTTTTAGAGTAAAAAACGATCTTTCGCAATTGCATCG